GGTCGCGAAGGCACTTGCTGGAGCACCTCCCAACTGCCAATGTGCCCATCAAGCCGTGCGAGTTCCTCGGGCTCGTTCGTCTGCTGCTTGAGGTATTGAGCGTATCGGATGAGGCCGGCGAGCACCTGCTGGGCTTCCTCATCGAAGCCGGCAGCCACGCTCTGCACCGCTGCTGCATCGCTCGACCCACGGGCCTTCTCCTCCAGGTAGCAGGCCATCATGTCTCCTCCCTCGTCTCCTTGATGACTCTCTCCTGACACTGGCGCCTCGGAGCTGGCTGCCCGCCCGCCTTCGGCTGACGGCGAACGGGAGCTCCGTCTTGTTGGCCCTGAGGGCGGCTTGGGCGAGCTGCTGCGATCGAGCCGCTGCCAGTGGCTGCGCAGCTTGGCGCCCGCCTCGGTGGCCTGCGCTTCGAAGCTCGGGCTGGGCGCCACGCCCCCCTCGGGATGCCACTTGACTAGGCTGACCACCTTCTCCTCGAGCAGCCGCCAGCGAGCCTCGCTGAGTGGGCCGGCTCGACCGCCCACGGGCAGACCATGCCAAGCTGCCAGCTTGTGCCAGACCTTCTCGGGTACGTTGGTCGCCGAGACGCTGATGCCGAGCTCCTCGCATCCCAGGGGTGCATGGTGGAGCATCTCCTCGATGAACCCTGCGGGCAGGCGCCCGGAGGGTCCCGTGGACGGTGCACGGATGACGCCGTCAGGTTTCACGAGAAAGCGGATGGTGATGCCGGTTGGGTCTGCCACCTCGAGCGCCAACGCACCGTCGAAGTAATCGGCCACTGTGCTGGCCGCGGCGGCGTCGACTGCCTTTCCTCTGAAAATCATCCACTGCGCTCCTTCTGGCCAATGTACCCTCGCCCGTATGATGAAGTGCTGCCCGAGGGGCATGGGTGGCGGAGTAGGCGGATTGGGGAAGTCTGGAACCGGCGGCGCTTCGAAGCGCACGCTCGGTGGCCCAGCCGGCGCCGGGACGGGGTCGCCAGGGCTGGAGGGCGCCTCTCGAGCAGAGGTCGTTGGAGCGGAGCGCTCTGGAGTGCGACTCCGGGCCGGGGTGGCAGCCGCCCGCTCCGGCGCGCGGCTCCGCGGTGCGGGGCTCCGCCGAGCTCGGCGCCGCAGTCCTGCGAAGAACCCGACCCCTGCAGGGTTGTCGTGGATCGCACGGGCTGCATCGCCCCCAAGGTGTTGCAGGCAGAGCGGGACCCCCGAGGCCATGCCCACCGCTTCCCGGAAACAGGTCACCTGAGAGCACTTCTCGCCGTAGCGCAGGACCATGTAGATTTGCCGGCGATGCTCACAGAGGCAAGCCGTTGCGCTCCCCTCGCTCGGGAGTGGGAGGTCCGAGGCTCGCCAATCCTCCACCAACAGCACAGTGGGGTCCCCGCGTGCAGCGTCCCGACAACCTTCAGGTGCTAGTGGACGCATCTTGCCCTTGAGCATGAGCCCCGCCTTCACCGCCTCGCGGGGGTTGTCCTCGGCGCCCACCTCGGACTCGGACTCCTGGTCAAGTAGCCTTGCCACTGACCCCTGCACGCCAGGCTCCGCATCGCCAGTCTTGTGACGGCGGCGTCGCCGGCGGCAGATGCATGCACCACAACATGAGAACCACGAGAGGATGCACAGCAACAACTTGTAGACAAGGCCCGTCCCCCTCCAGAGCCAGACGAAGATTCGGCAGGGGGTGAACTTCGAGTAGTCACCGAGATCCACGATAGCTTCATTGTCGAGGGCGGCGTACTCCTTGCAGTGCAGCTCGTTCTCGCGACCCTTGCACCCGGTACAGCTTGAGGAACGGCACAGGTGAAGCCAGCGAGGATCCCGCTGCTCCAACTCGCGCCGAAAACTCTTGTCGCTGGCGCCCTTCACAGAATCATACTCTACCCACAATCCTTGGCGATTGATGCGTTCAGGAGACTTCATGTTGAGCTTGGGCCGGGCAACCCGGTAGTCCACCCTGATCATGAGGTCGTTCTGGCCGCGCTTGGAGCCCCGACCTTCCTTGATGCTCTTGCGGTACCAGTCGGTCGTCGGGTCGGCCCCTGTAGTCGGCCCGTGCCACACCACATCGGTGAGCGGTGGCGCCGCCGGCGGGACCAGCTTGTCGAGCCTGACCTCGCCAGGCGTTCGGCGCCTCGGACAGGGGCAGCACGCCAGCACCAAGCCACAGGTCCAAGCTGCCCAGCTGCAGGGTGCGAAGAGCGTCCTCAGGCTGTGGGCCAAGAGCGCGACCACCCCGGTGCTGGCGAAGACAACCACGAGCCCGGCGATCAGCGGCCACGCGGAGCCGAACAGGGAGAGGCCCATCTGGTCCGCCATGTACAGCACCCAGCCACCATCTGAGCTCAGCCAGCCTCCTGCCTCACGAGTCGAGAAGGCCGACCTGAAACTCCCCACGGCCCTGAAGGTACCCCCACCCATCCCCTCGGCAAACCAGTAAGTGCGGTTGCCGATGTCCTTCCAGCTGACGCCGAAAAGACCCCAACCTCTGATCCAGGACGATGGATCCCCATCGGGGGGGTCGGGGGGTGCGCGGGTCGGGCCCTGGGGGGGGGGGGGCAGCCGGCGGCGCTGAGCGCTCGCGCGGCGGGCCCCCTCCGCTGCTCCCTGCGGACGCAGCCTGTCCGCCGATGGAGTGGACCTCGACCGGCAGCGCGCCCACATGCATCGAGGAGTCCATGGGCCCGTCGAGCCAGAACCCCTTCATGTCCACGTTCACCTCGTCGTCGTAGTAGACCTCGGTGTTGGGGGCCTGCCCGTGCGTGAGCTCGGCGCCGACCACTCCCACCACCTCCAGGAAGACGACGAACCAGACGGGCCCCAGCGCGCATGCACGCCTCGCCGCCCGTGTCTGGGCTGGAGAGAGAGCCGGCGCTGTCGCGCGCCCGGCTCCCTGCTCGGCGGGGGCGAGCCGCGCCCGCGCCACGTGCGCTGCTCCGCCGCCCCCAGGTGCTCCGCGGCTAGCGTGAGCCAGTGCCGCTCGGCACCCGGGCTCGCCACTGCCGCGCAGCTGCGCGACTCGGCCGCGCGGCGCCAGGCGCAGCTCCATGGCTGCGGGCGCCCCCTTCGCGCCCGGACACGGGCGAAGGTCTTCCGGCCCCGTCCCGGGGCCCGGCCTTCGGCCACCTGAGGCCGACCCCCAGCTTGGCCTTGGAAAGGCTTGAGCCGCGGAGCGGCGGTGGAGAGAGAGGGAGAGAGAAAGGGCAAGCAAGAGGCAAGGGCAGGAGCAAGGGAACCGCAAGTGGAAGCCCGCGCCAGTTCTGGAGTCGGGGAGATCCATCAGTTTTACCAAACATCCTATCTTGAGGCTGCCTTGGGGCCTCTTGGAGGTACAACCGCGACCCCCGGATAATAATACCCCCCCATTTTCGCACTGACAGTTGACTATCCCCGGCCGATCCAGATTTGGTCGGGGGAGCGGGGCGGCAAGGCCGATTTTTTTTATCGCGGGAGAAAGTTGCGAATCGAAGTTGTTATCTTCTTCTGTTCATTGGCAACATCATCAAAGACGTGTGGCATGGCTACGGGGGTCTTAGGGACCGTGTTGGGTTGCCGAGGACCCTCTGGAAACCATCTTGGGCCATCATGGACGCTCTAGCTACCCAGCCCCCCCCCCGTCCCAGCTCACTCCCACCCGCCCTCCCAGAACAGAAGTAGCACCCGAGCCGCAGCGTGTTCAGCGGCAGTCTTTGGATGGACAGCTACTGGGAATCAATCCAAGCCCCATGTGCGCAACGAGTGGGCGAAATGCGCCGTGCGTGCAAGGCGCGCCACGCGCGCCAGGTGCGCCAGACACCCCTGCGGCCCAAGCGTGCTGGGACGCCTGGTGCGCCAGATGCGCCACGTGATCCACGTGCGCCATGTGTGCCGCATGCTTCAGCTTTGCCAGGTGCGCAACGTTCGGGGCACGCGGAGAGCCGGCCACGTGCGCCTGCGCACGTGGTGGTACATATCGGGAAACGCGTCGGCCCCCACCATTTTGCCGAGAACCAGTACATCGTCCTAGCGGAGTGGCCATCATAGCGTCTGGTTGGCCTTTTCATAGCAGGTCATATGCCAGCACCCCCGCCGTCCCAGTCAAAAACCAATGCACCGTGATTGCGGGGGCCCGCGCATGATCCATGTTTTGCCTCGAAGTGCAAGTTGTATGGCTTTTGACAGGGATGCTGGCCGTGTGCGCAGCAGGCAGTATGCGGGCAGCCTCGCCGACCCTACCAAAAAACAAGACAAAGTGATCGCGCCCCCCCCGATCATGACCCAATAGTTTGCCCCAAAGTGGAATTCACATTACTTTTTGTCAGGGATGGTGGGGGAGGTCGCATTGGTCCTGGTTGGCTGCCAGTCACCTGGGGGGGGTGTTTATTAGTAGAGAATCTTGATGAACCCCTCTCCCGAGCAGGGGAGGGAGGGGAAGAGAAGAAACATATTGTTGAACCACCTATGCCCAGAGGGCTGGTGGGATTGGCCTCGATTGGCGGGCAGGGTGGGTGGGTCCAGGGTTTTCTGAAACTCCCACGGTACATTGCATCTCTCCGCTCCGCCTCAAGTCCCATCGTCGACGATGCTCGTTCGATGCTGCAGCGTAGGCAGTTGAGCTCGAAGAGCCCCATACAGGGCGAAGCGCGTAGCCTCTTTCTCTTCTCGCTTGAGACTCGATCCCAAGCAAGTGAGAGCCGATACAGATCATCCCGAGTGTGGCGCGTGCAGACGTGCTGCAGCTGTATCCTAGCATGGCCCTCCCCATTCTTGCGCTTCCCATTCCTGGTCATCCTCATCGCTCTCTTCGTCGTCCCCATCCTCCCCATCCCTCGCTGTTCTCCTTCGCCTCCCCTCTGCCGACATCCCCACCACTCCCTCTCTCCCTCCCTCCTTGCTTCCCTCCGTCCCCCCCCCCCCGCGCTCTCGTACTCCACCCCTCACTCCGCAACTGCGCCCGCCCCACGCTGCCCTTCGCTCCAGGGCCCGCCCCCCCCCCTCCCCTGGGACCCCCCGCCCGCGCGGCAGGACCCGGCGCCCGACGGCGACGTGGAGTTCGCGCCCTACGGCGATGAGAGCGACATGGCGGGGATCGTGGAGTTGATGGAGAAGGAGTCCGGGAGCCAGTCACGAGGGGAAGGAAGCAGAGGAGGAGGAGGAGGAGGAGGAGGAGGAGGAGGAGGAGGAGGAGGAGGAGGAGGAGGAGGAGGAGGAGAGAGGTCAGGAGAGTTTGAGAGGAGGAGGAGGAGGAGGAGGAGGAGGAGGGAGGAGGAGGAGGAGGAGGAGGAGGGAGGAGGAGGAGAGGAGGAGGAGGAGGAGGCGGAGGGCGGAGGCGGAGGCGGCGGAGGAGGAGGAGGAGGAGGCGGAGGAGGGAGGAGGAGAGGAGGAGGAGGAGGAGGAGGAGGAGGAGGAAGGGAGGAGGAGGAGGAGGAGGAGGAGGAGGAGGAGGAGGAGGGGGAGGGGGAGGGGGAGGGGGAGGGGGAGGGGGAGGGGGAGGAGGAGGAGGAGGAGGAGGAGGAGGAGGAGGAGGTGGAGGAGGAGGAGGAGGAGAGACGATGGCGCCAGTCGTCCGAATTAACAGAGACACCCGCAGCTCGAAGCTCGAAGGAGGAGAGGGAGAGGAGGGGAGGAGGCATCAGAGGATTATTGGGATGAAGGTGGTGAAGGCATGAGGGGAAGAAACAGAGGGAGAGCAGGAAGGAGGATTAGGGAGGAGGACATGTTGGGAGGCGGCGGTGGAGTGGAGGGAGGATGTGCCGATGGAGGAGGGGGAGGAGGAGGAGGAGGAGTTGGCGGTGGGAGTATGTTTCACTCAGCGCCCCGCAAGAGATTTGCTGTGCCTCAGCTGTGAGAGGGCAGTGCTTTGCAGCTCCCAGCGGCGCGGAAGGAATAGCGCCGGGTTGAGGAGGATGGAGGGAAGAGTCAGGAGAACGGGGAGGAGGAGGAGGTGGAGGAGGAGGACGAGGAGGATGAGGAGGAGGAGGACACTTCAGCAGAGTTCGAGAAGGAGCACGTTCCTTCCCCTCCCTCGTCGCATTGCTCCCTCTTCTCGCGGCGACGAATGCGTTTTGGGGGGGAAGGGCAGCGCTCAGGCCTTCTCTGTCTCTGTCTCTCTCTCTCTCTCTCTCCCTTGTCCAGCTCTTCACCCTCCCCCGAGAACTCCAGGCTCCTTCCCACTCTGCCTCCTCTCTTCTCCTTGTTCAGGTGGCTTGCGCCCTTTAGCCGGCCCCTAGACTCGCAGGCGATTTTGTGTCCCCCAATCCCCGAGTTCCGCTCGAAAAGTTTGGCCGCTCAAGCCCTGGAATACACCCCAATGGAGCTATTCCGTCGCACCCCTATCCCGGATGGGCGCCCACCCATCGAATATCCCAGAATTGGGCCCCAATTTTCTGGTGCATTCGAAAATGTCCCAGAGCTTGGGTCGACAGATTCCCTGTTGATTCCGACTACCCCCAAACGGAGGGGAGTTATGGGACGCATGGGAGTCGTGTTGTGGCTTTCGGACCAGCCCCTCGCCGCCCGTGCGCGGGCCGTGGCCCAAAAGCCTCTTTGGATGCATCTGACGGCCTCGTGCGACGCCTGCTAGGGACCTCTTGGAGGGCTGCTCTGGGCCTCTTGGAGGCTTCTTGGGACCCCTTGGGGGCCTTTTTGGAGCCTCTCAGAGGCTTCTTCGGGCTTTTTGGGGGATGCCTCGTGAGGGACGATATTGGGGGCAGTTTGGTCCGTCTTGAATGCTGTGGAGACTAAAATGGCGAGTATGCCACGTGGGGCTCTCTCGGCGGTCCTCTGTAAGCACTTTCGGAGTTGTCGTGGTGGCCACGTGGACGGTCACGAAGCCATCTAGGAATGTCGTGGGGTTATTTTCGGCCATGGCGATTTTTGTTGGGGGGTGCCTTTGCGCCTTATTTGGGTCTTGGCGGGCTGTCTTGGGACCCTTGAGAGGCGCCAGAGATGCGTTTGGGAGCTCCAACCCTCCCACCGGCCCCCCCACCGGCCCTCCTCCGCCCCCCCCCCCCCCTCTGCTGCGATTCTCTTTGTACCTTCTCTACCTTCATCCCCATCATCCTCCATCGCCACCTCCCCTCCTTTTCCCCTCCTCCTTCGAGCTTGGAGCCGCGGGTGTCTCTGTTGGGATGGCTGGCGCGTCTCTCCTCCTCCACCTCCTCCTCTTCCTCCAACCTCTGTCTAAGGCATCCCTTTGACTCCAGGCCTCAAACACGGGGGGCGTAGCAGTTGGGGTCGGAGGATCGCGCCGAATCGTTGAGGCGTTGCCGATAAATCTTTCTCTCTCTTTTTCTCCCTCCATACGCCGCCTCCTCCCGTCTGCCCCCAAGAACACCCAGAGTATGATATAGATGCACGACCACAGTGTGCGGCAGCCCCGTGACCGCAGGCCTCCCAGGCGCGGGCCAGACCACCCCAGGATGCACAAGAGCACCCAACAAGCACGAAAAACATCAGGGTACTCTCCTTTGAACTGACCTCGATCTTCTACTTCGGTCTGACCGTAGCGAATTGCTCGTGAGCAGGTATCGAGATTGTTTGGCGGCAGCAAGTTTTACAGGCCTTTGCTTGCTGGGGACTCTGGTTCCGTGCCGTTTTCACTGATGGGTGTTTTGCTACAAGGGTATCTGTCCGACCTCGAATACAGTCGGACCGAGGCATAAGATCGAGGTCGGTTCAACGGAGGGTACCCTGATGTTCTTCGTGCTTGCTGGATGCTCTTGTGCATCTGGAAACGTTACCCTAGGATGTTCGGTGTGTTCTGGCCGGCAGAGGGTCTCGTGTTCTTGAGGGATGCTCTTCTGTCCCAGGTTCGACTGTACCCCCCCTTCTCGCGCGGAGGACCTGTCTGAGCCCTACTCGATCTTCACGTACCGGTACTTCATCTACAACTGGCCCGAATTGTGCATCCTCACAAAGAAGGCTTCGTGCTTCGCGCGTCCCTTTCGTCGTCGTGCGGCGGCATCGTCAGAACTCCCTAGGCCTCCCAGATGGAGTCCGAGTAGTTGGGGTTGGAGGATTGTGCCGTATCGCCGCTGCATCAGTGATGCAGCTCGATGTGGAGCCCGATTTTCTCCACGCCAACGCATCGCCGATGTCTCGGCGATGCAGCGCGATCCTCCGACCCCAACTACTCGGACCGCATCTAGGAGGCCTCTAACAGTTATCTCCATCTCCACCAAGAAGGTCTTAGTTTCTCCCCGAGCCCCAGGGGACATGCGAGAGCAAGTCCGACTGGAGCTCCTGATGGCGCCCTGCGGCGCGCCAGGCAGTACCACCACGAGGTCGGCCTCCGGAAGTACCTCTCCATGTTTGGCCCCGGCGGGATCACGCCAGCCGCGCCCCATGACGCTCCCCGTCTCTTCTCTGGGCAGCTCCGTTGTGCACTCCACTTCGAGTTCTACCCTGTTCTTCACGATGGATGTCGAGGTGTTCGAGTTCCAGGTTACTCTGGGCAGTACCGTTACAGGGCCTGCTCCGGTCTTCTCCGGTTTCTTCCACGGACGCTCCCATCGATGCCCCCAATGACCTCTTCCGGGCATGGTACACCGACGAGATCATAGGTTCGCTGGGTATGCTGAGCCTCGAGCCCGTTGCGGACGTTGAAAGGGCCGCGGGGGAACCCGAGATGGAGGCGGCAACGGCCGCGGAGACGCCCTTCCCCACGACGCCCTACCCGACGTCCCCTAACGCTCCACTTGATGTCCCACCCTACGTCCCACGACCTTCCCAACCCTTTCTTGCTCCCCCCCGACGCCCCATACGACGCCTTACCCGACGCCCTACCCGACGCTCTACCCGACGACCCACCGGTCGACCCACACCTACGCCCCGCGACCTTCCCAAACCTGCGGCTTCCCCCCCGACGACCCACCCGACGCCCGACCCGACGCCCTTCCGACGCTTTTCCCGACGACCTTCCATACGCCCCGCGACCTCCCCAACCATCCGACGGCCCACCCGACACCTCACCCGATGCCCTACCCGACGCCCTACCCAACACTCTACCCGAGGATGGAGGACCGTTCTGGGGTGCGGATCAGCCTCGAGGAGCGGCGGCGTCTGCTACACCGCTTCCGGCGGCGGCCGCGACGGCGCGGGGCTGGCGGACCTCCTCGCCAAGGCGCAGCGCCGTATACTCCAGGGCGTCGGCAGTGGTGCGGCAGTTCGATTGCGTGTCCGAGATGACTCAGGCCCTCGAGATGCAGGCCGAGCTGCTGAAGGTGCGAGGCCTTTCGCCAAGGAGCCACTCGCTGGCCAGGCCATGGCCGCGCGCTTCCTCAGGGACAGCCTGGCCCAGCTGGGCTCTGCGACGAATCTGAGGATGAGGAGGCCGAGGAGGAAAGAGGTGGACATTTCGCGGGCGTCGGCTCACCCTCCACTGGAAGGGCCAGCGGCGTCAACCAGTCGTGCACCTTCGTTTTGACATTCCTTGCCTTCCTGCTCGTTTGGGTATACCTTCACTTCCTGCTCTTTCACTTCGTCGGGATGTTCTCCGCACAGAGCTGCATCTCCGCGTACTTGATCTGATTCATATGATCCCGATTTCGTCGATGTCTTCGAGCCTTGGCCCTGAGGCTCAGTGGCGCCAGCTTTCCAACCACAGGAGTTGGCATGTTCCTGCGATCGTATATTTGTTTCACCTTCTCCTCCCCCCTCCTGTCTTGGGCTCCTCGTCCGCGCGCAGCTGGCGTGCATAGCAGTGCGTAGCCCCTCCTGTTCCTCTCTGCCCGTTCCCGTAGCCAGTGCCTGAGCGAATCTTCCTGCTGGTGTTCCTTACACTTTCGTAGTGCCATTTGGGCCGAGACGTTGTCTGTGCAGCCTGGTCGATGCACATTGAGTTGCGCGCAGGTGGGCCCAGTGGCCGCTGGCGAGTGTTCGGGAGAGGCGAAGGGGGAACAACAACACAACATGCTGCACCATACGCTATACTTTAGCAAGGGCGGGGTCTGTAGTTTGGACCATCTGGGAATCCCTGGTGTGCATGTTCTTGAAGGTCGGTTCCTTGCGCAACGCATCAGCACGAATGCAGTATGGGCGTGTGCTCCGACGGATGCCATGCGCGCTGAATGATCCCCGTCCCAACCTGTTCCGCGCGGATGTCGCCCTGTCATCCTTTGCATCTATCGTTGGGAGGGGCCAGGTGGGAGAGGAAAAGTGCGTGGGATCGCCGCGGCGAAGACGTGGGCGACGAAGAAGGGCACGTGTATACTGGAAATCACGAACCATAGAGGCGTGCTGTCGACGAGTTTGGCGAGCTTTGAGTTTATGAGTCGCACTTGGTCTTCGAACTTCCCCTCACCCACAACTCAGTCGTTTGTGCGTCACCCCCCCCTTCCCACCAGGCTGGCGACATTGGGGATCGTTGTCGGCGCGCGTGTCTAGGGAGGCAGTCGGATTGTTCCGACCGCGTCTGACTGTTTTGCGGATGTCTTGGCTTGCGCTTCCCAGGGTGGCATTCTTGTCTTGATTGACCAGTTAGCGTGTCGACGCACACCAGTCAGTTCGAGTATGTCCTGAGGTGGGATTCCTGTCATTAGTATGACGCCTCCGACCCCGCCTCACTCACTCACTCCCGCTTCGTTCTCCTTGTCATCACACTCAGACCACTCACGCTCGTATTCACACACCCAGGCTCACTCACACAAAGACTCACCCGCACTCAGAACCATTCACACTCATATAGACATTGCCACACAGGGTCCTTGCCTCACAGAGCACTCTTTATACTCACTCTTCTAGACTCAAGCTCGTTCGCATTTGCTGCTGCGATATACGTAGCAGGCGTGGCACTTGGGCAACCCAGGAACAAGCCGCCAGGAGTGGTGTCATGTCTCCGTTCGTGCCCTGATTGTGTGAATGTTTCAGGCGGTTTGCGTTTCTGGTTCTTTAGACTCACCCCGCAGGGCGCGCAGTGCGAAGTCTGAGTGACGGAGAGCGCCTGGGAACGCCTGGAATTCGGTGCTGGGGCCTTTTAGTCTCACGAGCGGAAAACAACTCATGTCCACGCCCTCGCGGTTCAGATTTCGGGGCGCGATCCCGTGGATACGCGGTCGCATGGATGCGTCCCGCATGGGGCATCCGTGAAACAGCGCACCGTATTCCAAGCTGTCGCGGCCCAGGGGCTTGCCACAGGAGCCCGTGAAGATGGATCTAATCATGTCTCCCGCCAGCGATCTTTAGGAGGATCGAGATGGCTGCGGAAAAACTGGGGACGAAGGCCGACAGCAGTTCCTGCTAATTCTGTACAGGACTCGAGGTCGGTGTCGGCGCGGGCGGTGTCCAATTTGGCCAGACGTCACCTGCTCAACTGCGGCCGCTGTCGGTTTGGCTCCACACTGTCTTTCGGCACTGTCCGCATTTTTCCATCACCGTTTCCAGGCGGTGCCAATCCTCGACTCAGAGAGCTCGGGTGGACCTGAGGGCACTCCAATCGGTGCCTCGCGCCAGCGACACCGAGGTCCCACACAGCGTGGGCCGTGGGGTGGTGGAGGGGGGCGAAGTACAGTCGACCCGCGCGGTAAGCATGGACAACTTTCCCAAGGGTACCCTTGCATCCTTGCCCCTTCGGCGCATCCTTGGTCACTTTCGCTGGGGGCGCCCCGCTCTAAGAGCTTCGAGATGGCCTTCCAAGGCCCTAGCATCCTTCTCGTGTGCCCTTATCCTTATACGGGTTGTTGCACTTCCCTCTTTGCAAGGCGGGCATGGCAAGCGTTCTAGAGAGGGCATTACCCTCGGAGCACCCTCGCCATCTTGCGGAAGGCGGCGGAAGGAAAACGAGGGCGGCTCCGTTGGCGGAGTCAGCGGAAGTAAATGACAGATGCGCCCCGAGAGTCAGAGGAGGAAAGGGAACCCATACCTCTACCCTTCCCCGTTTTCCCCCTTTTTCGGCCTCCTGGGAGTCCCTCGTCGCCACCATTGGATTCGCCTCGAAATTCTGGTCAGAACGCACACCAGGAGAGATCCAGGGAGTAGCTGTATCGGTACTTGTTGGTTTCCCTCAGGAGATACCAGTTCTGTGGGGGCTGGGTGAGCGGGCCAGATGGAGGGATGGACAAGAGAGGCGGGATCTGGAGGGCGGTGCGGAGGAGCAGATGCGACGAGGCGGGGAGGACCGAGGTGCGAGGAGCGAGGAGCGAGCAGGAGGCGGCGCCCTCGCCAGCCTCTGGCAGGACGGCAGGTGCGTGGGGGCCGTGGTCGGCAAGCTCGACGTGCACAAGTCGCGGGGCACGCACCGGGGGTACCTTGCCATGCTGGTGGGCCCCGCCCCCGCTCTGCCCCGTACCCTCTGCCGGCCCCCACGTCCTCCGCGGGCGGGGCCTGCCACCCTCGCCGCCAGGGAGAAGGAGTCGTGGCGGAGGAGGAGGAGCAGGAGGAGGAGGAGGAGCAGGGGGAGGAGGAGGAGGACGAGGAAAAAGAAGAGGAAAGGGAGGAGGAGGAGGAGGAGCAGCAGGAGGAGGAGCAGCCCGAGGAGGAGCAGAAGGAGGATGAGGAGGAGGAGGACGAGGAGGGAGGAGGGAGGAGGAGGAGGAGGAGGAGGAGGAGGAGGAGGAGGAGGAGGGAGGAGGAGGAGGACGAGGAGGAGAAGGAGGAGGAAGAGGAGGAGGAGGAGGAGTCCTCCGCGGGCATGGCCTGCCACCCTCGCGGCGTGGAGCAGTTGCAGTTCACCGGGCGCGCTCCACTGCTCGCAGAGTGCCTACTCGGAAACGTTCGAAGAACATTTGTTTGCCTCGATGTCACGTCTCGTAACGCCCCCGCGGCGGATCCAGGCCATTTGCAAGCAGGTACTTTGCGATTCGTGGAGCGCGCTTGCCTAACAGTGGAAGGCGTCGAATGCGTCGAAGGCGCGCCTCCGGCGAGGATCGCGGATCAAGGATCGACTTTACCCTCGAGCCTCGGTCCTCGAAGTGTCTCATACGGCGGCGGGAGTTCTCAGAACCCTTCGCGCCTGCTGAGAAGTTTGCTGTGTCGTCGGAGAAGGCTTGGAAAACGTCTCAGTACGCCCGAGGCCTTCCGAGCCTTCTGAGAAGGCCCGCCCCTTTTCACTTCCCCTCGCTCGCCGCCGAATGAAACAATCACAGTGGAAGGTTTCTGGTAGTTTTCGACCGCCAGGGGCCCTTGCTGGCTGGGCCTCGGGACCGTCAAACAATTGAGCAGCATGAAGATCCAGGAACTCATAATGACGAGCACATGGAATAATAGTTTGCTTGTGCTTTGTCCCACCGCCATTCATTGTCACTCATATCGGCGCCCTGGCGCCCACATGTTTTGCCCCCGCGGCACCTCGACTGCAGGCCGATGTCTGATGTCCGATGCATTCCGGAGGTCCCTGTGTACGAGAGACATGCACTTCGGAGGTCCGCGCGGATTTCTCGGATTGGCACTGCACCCCCTTCCCTGGCGCGCTGAGCGCGCCAGGGGCGGCGCTGGAGGCGCCGCCTGGGAGCTCGAGCGCCGATCCAAGAAATCCGCGCGGTCCTCCGAACTTTATTGTGTCTATGGCATGATCTGCTCTCCGAGAAGAGGCGGCCCCCGGGAATAGGTCGAGGCTTCTGGGGAACCACGCCGTGAACAGACAGCAGGCAGTCAGATGCCGGGGGACGACGAGTGGGGTACGCCTTCCCCAGAGCGAGATCATGGCGGCGACGCTGGCGCGCGCGTTCAAGGAGGAGGATAAGGGGGAGGGGGAGGAAGAGGAAGAGGAGGAGGAGGAGGAGGAGGAGGAGGAGGAAGAGGAAGAGGAAGAGGAGTGGGATGATGACTTGGCAGGCTGCGAATCGATCGCCTGGAGGCTCCAAATCAAAGAGGAGCTTGCCAGCAGACTGAATAAGAGGGGGTTCGGAGTAGATGGGGTCGGAGCGTCGCTCCGCATCGCCGATGTATCGGCGATACGGTTCGATTTGGATCTCGATGCCTTACACGCCGACGTTGCCGATGTACCCCCGACGTCGACGCTGCGTCGGCGCTGCACCGGGGATGCGTCGGCGATGCATCGGCGATGCGGAGCGATCCTCCGACCCCATCTGCTACGAGCCCGTCTGGGACGCCTCTATTGACGATCTTCGCTGTCGGACAACGGAATTCGCTCAAGATTGGTCGATCCACGCAGAACCAATCGGCGTCGCCCCAACATACTAATACTGTATGTGCGTCGCCCCCCTGGGGGCGACGCGCGCACCGAGAAATCTCATAGTACATGCGTCGTGGCGGGCGCTTTCTGGCCACGCCGCTCGTGAAATGATATACTACAAGGATGGTATACCATATGTTCGGGCCGGACGCGTGTCTCCAAGGAGGACGTGTAGTGTTAGTATGTCTTTTTGCGTCCCAGCCAACGCCCACGTCAACGCTACGAGATCCAGCCGCACGTCTACGTATAGAAGCGCCCGCCGAGCCAGCACCGAGTGCCTGCCCTCCTGTCTGTTCGACCCTTGAATCGACGATCTACTCAGCTGGCGCGCGTTGTCTCTGTCTCTGTCTCTGTCTCTCTCTCTCTCTCTCCCTCTCTCTCTCTCTCCCTCTCTCTCTCTCTCTCTCTTCCCAGACATGATCGCGCCGTCTTAAAATCAGGACGGCACGGTTTCAGCTATGTTCGGCCTCTGGAGGCCCTCGCCAGGCCTCGGGACCGTCAAACAACGACTCAGGACGAACAACTGGTCCCGGGGAAAGGGTTGGGACTTCCAGGGACGCCGTCCTGAACAAATCAGGACTTCGCATGTTTGGGTATCTTTTCTTGTTTCTCTCTCTCTATCCCTCTCGTCGTCTCTGCAGCAATCAGCTACCAGCTGCACTCGCGCATGATTGCTCGCTCGCTTACTCATTGATTCAAGCGGCCACCCAGCCACTCGGGCATTCGACCAATGTCCAGGCACACGCCATACATCACCTCCTCTCAAGCATCAGTCCAGACGAGAGGCGGGATTGGGGAACAGGTGGGTTCTAAATCTTGCTCCTTATTAGGCGCCACTTCCGTCCTCTCGCAAAACGTGCACGCGCGTTCTTTCTCTCGCTCGCTCGCGCACGCGCGTACCGATAATTGTCTTGATTCACGAGCTGCATTTGAGAAGCAGGGAGGAAGAGAGCAGGAGGTGTAGGATCGCGGGGGTTGAAAGGAGGACACAGGAGCTCGTGCATCGCATACCAGCATCGGTGTGTTTTGAATGTCGGTGGCCCGTCGGCGACGCATTGACGGTTTGAGATTGAAGCTTACAGTGAAACTAAGAAAGTGGGCGGTGCTATTTCCAGCCCTGACCGGTTTTCCACAACTTCCTTCCATCTCTGCCAGTCCGGCGACCTCATCCCATGTTCTGTCTTGGGGGCCATTTTCAGCCCCTGGCAGCTTAACGAGCCCTGGCCAATTCTCCTTTCTCATACACCACGAGCGGCGAGCTCATATCCGTATCTGCGTTCTCGCGGTCTAGCTTCTCTGGGCGCGCGATGCCGCGAATGCGCGGTCGCACGGATGCGTCCCGCGCGCGGGGGGCAGCCGCGAACAAAACGCCCCGCGTATCCGTTGGGTCGCGGCCCGGGGTCCCAACGTCTTTCGAGGACGCGGATACGAATATGGCCTTCGCCCACGAATCGAATCTCGAACCTCCAGAAGGCCTTCTCAGAAGGCGGCGGGACTTCTGAGAAGCACTCGCGCCTTCTGAGAGGATTTTCTGTGTCTTCGAGGAAGGCTTAGAACACTTCTCACAAGGCCGTGGAACTCTCGAGCCACCCGAGAAGGCCCGCCCTCCGCTCCCATCCCCCCGCGCTGTCTTCTTGCACCCCTGCGCGAGCGAGATGGGCGCCCGCGTGCCCGGGGGGGGGGGGGAAGGCTGACGCGCCTCTCCCTCTTCTCGGCGCTCCGCCCCCCGCCTGCCCTTTTTCAACGCTCGGACGTGCGTGTTTTTTTTTTTTTGGGGGGGGGGGGGCGAGAACCATCGAGGAGCTTCATGAAACATGCGTTAAGTCGGGCGTGTCCCTCTACAGGAGGAATATTCAAAGGAATATTCAAAATAGTCAAAACATAGTCTGGTGACGTTTTTTTTTGGATTGTTTGAAATATTTGGATTTTTTTTAGAGTCTTTCAGGTTTCCTCCAAGATCCTCCTCTAGGGGGACATGCCCGACCTAAAACATGCGACAAATAAGCGCTCGAATCCGAACAATGCACGGGGAATGGGCGTCCGAGCGATGGCAAGTGCCCATGCACGTGTATGCACGGAGTCGCGCCCGTGCGCTCGCCCGCCGATTTCCCTCGACGGCGGAGAGACTCCGAGGCTCGACGGCGGAGAAGCTCCGAGGACCGCGAGATCCTGGCGTTGCCATTTTTGCACAACGGGCGTTTTCGCCCGGCTTCGGGCCCAGGGGCCCTCACAGATCGATCTGGCTCGAACAATGAAGCAGAGCATGGGGTTTAGGGCTCCGGTCGTGATTGTTCGCGATGTTGAGATGTGTTCGCAATGTCAGATTTGAGGGGAGGGCGAGTTCAGACAACGGCAGTTGGCCTTCGGGCGGCCCCCTCGTGGCCACGGCTGGGCGCAGCTCGGACACATGGTGCGTTCGTGACCACGGGAGCGGTTTGAGGATCGATCTTGAGCTGCCGTTGCAATCAACCCGCGTAGGAAGGATGGGCAACTTTCCCAAGGGTATCCTTGCATCCTTGCCTCCTCGGCCCATTCTTAACGACTTTCGCGGGCCAATCTCGTTCGAAGAACGTTCACATGGCCTCCCAAGGCCCTTGCAGCCTTACCGCCCATCTTTCTGATTCGGGTTGCGCTGTACCTCAAGGGTCACAAAACCGTGTGGTGATGGACAGCGCAGTGGCCTCAGAGTCCCCAGCGACCTCACCGCGCGGTCCGTCGCCGCACGGTCGGGGGACTCCGTCGCCCGAGGCGTCCTAGGAGAACGGCTTTGAGTCCAAATGCAGTGCGGTGGCCCCAGATCCCCGCCGCACCACGCGGTGTGGTCATCACACCGTTTGGCGTTCCCCGATGGTCTCAACTTGTCTTGCTTCGGCACCGCCCCACCATGCAGTCGACCCGCATAGTAAGGATGGGCAGCTTTCCCAAGGGTACCCTTGCATCCTTGCCTCCTCGGTCCATCCTTGACTGCTGTCGCTGACCGCGCCCCGCTCGAAAAGCTTCCAAGTGGCCTTCCAAGGCCCTTGCAGCCTTGTCGTGCGTCCTTATCGGGTTGACTGTACAGTTCGGTGGCCCGAAGTCCCCTCTGACTCACCACGCCGCGGTGTGGTCATCACACCGTTCAGCGTT